AAATTTTTCCCACTTAATTAAATCAATTTAATTCTGTAAGTGTAATATAAAGGAAAAATAAAAGGAAAATTATTGAAAATGTAATATGAGGTATGCTGAAGAAGGAAGTGGCAACCCACTTCAGTATTCTTGCCTGGAGAATCTTATGGACAGAGGAGCCTGGTGGGCTACAGTCCATGGGGTCGGCAGGAGTCGGAAACGACTTGGCAACTAAATCAATACCACCACCATGCTAGAAGACAAAACCTCAAAGACAAAGAGCAACCCAACAGATTTCTAAAATGCTCCTTGTGGGGTGGGCTGCCCCATAGAGAACCATGAGTTTTCTCATTTCATGGGTAAAGAAAGTAAGGGGTGGGTATAAGAGAGCAGAAGGGGGATAATGGGTGGGCCTTGGTATACTTCTCAGAATTATACAAGTGTTGTTAGCAGTAGAGTTTGGATAGGAACTCTGGGTTTGAGGATCTGCCTTGCTGCCCTTGTTATTTAGTGCTTCTGAAGCTGCCCTGGACTCTGAAGGAATCCAATGGGCCACAAGTCCAGGGTGCCACTTTTAGGTAGTCAGTAGGTGCCAGACTTTGCTTCCTAGTTTTCTGAATACCTACCTTCAGGATGTCACACATTTTGTCCTTTCCCCAGCAACTATCTTCACCAGCTAAGTCCCCACCTCCTCCTCTTCCATCCCTCAGTAAGCACACAAACAAAAAACTTAAAGCAAAATTTTTCTCTTTTAGCTCCACTACTTGTATGTCAAGGAAGCCTTCTAGAAGAACACAGAACCCTTGGTTAGATGCTTGCCGAGCTTTTTTTACACTATCACTCTTTACTGATTTGATTTTTATTTCCTTGCTCAATTGTAGGTTCCATGAGAATTTTCTAGTCTACCCTATGTGCTTGTGTTGAAGGTAAAAGTATTATTTCCAAAATGTAGTAATATTGACTCTCAGCGGAGAAGTGCCCTGTTTATCTTCCAGTCTCAATCCTCTGTGATACTCTGGTGTTTCCAGAAGTGCTTGGAGTAGAGCCCAGTATAAAACACCACCAGCACAGAAGTTTGGGTTCCTTTTTATTTTCATCCTGTTTAATTTCTTGGAGGATGCATCATCCCCTTTAACTTTCAGACTGTTGTTCCTGAATTTTACCAGTTATAGAGAATTCTGTTGTAGCTTAATTAACTTTGATACTTTTGACTTTAGCCTTATACATTGAATTTTTTTATAAAATAGATTCCAAGTAATCAAGATCAAAGATCAGTTAGTGAAGAACTAATACTTTGGTGGTATTCTGTTAAACATCTGAAAGATGTTTTACTATTTTATAAATAGTTTTGTTTTAGGTAAAGTATAATTTACTTTTACAGTAGCTGTCTGACTTTGTATTTTAGACTTCATGTTTTTTTCCTCTTGTATTTTGGAATATCTTCATGTTTTTGCTTAAGTACAGTAATTTCATTTCTCATTGTTGATTTCCTGAATATGCGTTGGTGATACTTTCTTTACTTTCGGCAGCTATGCCTCATTAATTTAAACCTGGCTTTGCTTTGTCTTACTGTGTTGTCAGCTATACTTCTCACAACCCCATTTCAGTGCTGCTCACTTAGGGTGTTCATGTCAGTAAATACCTTGATACTCTTTTGGAGACTCTCTGGATGTTTTTCTTGGCTCGAACCATGGATTCCTCTTTCTTTTCTGGCATTTGTGCTTTGCAGCTGTAACACAGTTCATTGGAAAGAGCACAGGCTTGTGAGTTAAATGGATGCAAGTTTAAATCCTTGCTTTGTGACCTGTCAGCTATATAGACTGGGAATATTTGGATGTTTTTGAGGTCACTTTCTCCAACTGTAGAATGGGTGTACTTTTACCCATTTTTCAGAGTTGTGAGATTAGGAATATTGTATGTAAAGTACTTTGTCTTTTTCTCTCTTCTATGTCTCTTAACTGTCTCTGAAAGAGAGGCAGAGTAAACTTGAGGGAGATAGACTGAGAGTGAGAAGTCCTGGATAGTCCTACCCTTCTGTCTCAAAAATTATGTTTGTTTGTGACTGACCCAGAATTCTGTATTTATGAATAAAAGCAGTTAATGGATTTCAGTCAGAAAAACCTTGAATAAAAAAATATTTTATTTCATTCATATTATGAGATATTAAATAATAACGACATTTCAGATATTTTTAAGACAAGGCTTACTGCAAATAAATAAAAATAAAATAATTATGATCTGTATTATTTCCACCCTTTTCCACCACACTTTGTTGGTTTGTTGACTTCAGAATACTGGCCGTATATGATTTATCCTTTGTTCTATTTCCTTTTCCAGATACTTGTGTTTCATGGAAGAAAATTACATAGCATAGTTTCTTGAGAGTTAATGTCTCCAGAATTCCTGGTAACAGAAGACCATTTTAGGCTATAGTTCAAGTATTTCTCTAAAGCTTTAGAGCCCTGAATACATTCTGTGAACTACCTATAGGTAAACTACCCTTTTCTGTGTGAAGAATAGATTGTGGATATTTTCTTCATTTCCTTTTATCTATTACAAGAAAAAAATACTATGAATGATTTTGTTGTTGTTGTTTAGTCACTGAGTGATGTCTGACTCTCTGGTGACCCCTTGGACAGTAGCCCACCAGATTCCTCTGTCCATGGGATTTTTCCTGGCAAAAATACTGGAGTGGGTTGCCATTTCCTTCTACAGGGGATCTTCCTGACCCAGGGACCAAACCTACATCTCTTGCATTACAGGTGGATTCTTTACTGGCTGAGACATCAGGGAAACCCCACATCCAAAACTTGGAAGTCTTGTATTAAAGCTATATTAACTATAGCTTTTAGAAATAATGTGATCAACTTGTTTTGTAATAAGAAACAGGAAGAAAAACATTTTATTCCTTGTCCAGTCAAATCACTTGCTAGATGTTCCCTTATAACAGTGGTATTTTATGCCTTCCAGTGAATACCAGTAATTGGGGGGGGGGGGGAACTATTGATGTCAGAATATCAGCTCTTTCATGTATGGAGAGCATGGGACCAGTGTCTTTAATATTGGATGGTTCACACTTTATATCTCTCTTGGTGGTTAACTCTACCCTCAGTATTTTCTTTGTGATGCAGCCTGTCCAGTCTTTTAATATAAGAAATTCTGGCACTTGATTTTTCCCTTTGAAATAAATGTTGTTGAGACTTTTGAAAAATTCTTTAAAAATAATACTGTTTGTCCACAATTTGGGGAAAAAAATCAGCCATAGTCTCACTATGCAGGGACACTCATTGGTAACATTTTGATGTCTTTCTGTGGTCTTTTTTTCTGTTCTGTAATTTCATTCTGTCCATGTTTTGGTCCTCTTTGTTCTCTGGCTCCATTTGTATATGCTCTTGTTTCTAATTTCTTTTTTGGTCTGTTTGATAGGTAAGAAGTAGATTTATTCTGAGAGAAACACACTCCACAGACCAAATGTGAGTCATCTCAGAAGGCAAGAGCATCCTCTTGTTTCTAATTTCTGAGATGTCAGTTATCATTTCTCTTTTCCTTCAGCATTCATGATTTCCAGAGTAGAGTTGATTATAGAGTTATTCATGTCTTGGTAATCTCCCAGCTAATTAACTTTTATTTTGAGATGTAATTCACCTGCCATACAATTCAGCCATTTAAAATATACAAGCAGTAGCTCTTAGACCACCACTATTTGATGTTAGAAGACTTTTTTACCCTCAAACAAACTTTATACTCATTAGCAGTTACCTCCAAGTCCACTTGCCTTGAGCCCTAGTCACTAGTGCTAAGTTGCATCAGTTGTGTCCAGCTCTTTGTGATTCTGTGGACCATAGCCCACCAGGCTCCTCTTTCCATGGAATTCTCCAAGCAACAGTCTTGGAGTGGGTTGCCATTTCCTTCTTCAAGGTATCTTCCCAACTCAGGGATTGAACGTGCATCCCTAGAAAACCACTAATCTACCTTCTGTCGCTGTAGATTTGCCTACTGTGGATATACATAAATGAAATCATAGGATATGTGGACTTTTGTGACTGGCTTCTTTCACCTAGCATGAGTTTTCAAAGTCCATCTGTGTTGTAGCATGTATCAAGTACTTTGTTCCTTTGTTTGTTGAATGATAGCTGATATCTATACCACTTATCAAATGAAGAAGATTGGGTTGTTTCCACTCTGACTATTATGAATTGTGCTGCTATGAGCATTCCTGTATATGTTTTTGTCTGGATATAGAATTGCTAGGATGAGAATCATGTCAGTAATTTGAACGGGGAAAAAACTCTTGTGAATAACAGGTAAGAAATATAATAGTTATACCAACCTGTCTTTCATGATTTTATCTAGTAATGTTCCACTTAGTGTGGGTGTGTGTGGTTTAAACTTTTACATCTTATAAGGAAACCTCGTGTAATAACAGGAAATTGTTAAAATATAGTGAGTGTGCATGCCATTTATGCAGAAAAAAAATTGGTGACATTTTCATTTTTTAAAAAAATACTTGCTGTTAATAATTCATATTGTTTGAAACAATTTCAAAGAAACAAAATCCAACAGAAATCCTGAGACTTTGGAAAAACTTCCTTATGACTAACTAGCCCCTGTGCAGTGTGCATCATAAAGAATAACGTCAAAAGTCGGCCTCTTGCCTATCTTTTGTGTCCTAGCTTGACAGGATACTGTTCTTCCTCCATGTCCAGGCCTTGTTTGCATCCTGATTCATTCTGCATGTTTTAGTTGATTGCCTTAGACCTTTAGGATCCCTTTCCAAGGGAAAGGACACTGAGCTGATGACTGAGATGGGAGGTCTTCACCTAGTTCCATCATCACTGGTTTTGCCGCTGTGAGCACAGTCAGGTCCCTAAACTTTTCTGCTTTTCACTTTCTTCACTGGTGTGATTAGAGAATCATTTGTGAAACCAAAAGAGGTTTAAAGCTTGGTGATCTTTGTTTTTTTTTTTTTTAATCTACCATTTTCTTTTTTTGGCCATCCCATGTGGCTTGTGGGATCTTAGTTCCCTGACCAGGGATTGAACCTGGGTCCATGGCAGTGAAAGTACCAAGTCCTAATCACTGGGCCACCAGGGAGCTCCCAAAGCTCAGTGGTCTTAATTCTAGTTCTGGACTTCTCAATCTTACACACTGCTTGTCACACATACTGATCTTTCATGAATTTGGCTTTTAATATATACTTTATTGTATTGCCTTCTTCCCATCTTTTTCAGTTTTGTTCTTCCCTCTCCACCTAGATGATCTGCCCTAGAAGGGCAAAGACTTTTGTTAACGGTAACAAAGAATAGTCTTTAATACCTCGCCTGAGGCTGATTAGTGTTTGATAGTGCAAGTATCATGAGTTTTCAGTGACTGTAGAATGACTCTAATTGGTCATATTCTTTGTAAATGAAATGATGAAAAATAACTTGGTAAATTTAGATAGATATTTTAACTTTTTCTTTTTTCTTTTGAAGAGTATGCTTTGAGTAAAGTAGACATGGTATAGTCAGAAATGAACATTCTGTTTTTGATAACTTTTCTTTAAATTAATTGCTTTATTTTAATTAGAGGCTAATTACAGTATTGTGGTGGTTTCTGCCATACATCCACATGCATCAGTCATGGATGTACATGTGTCCCCCCATCCTGAACCCCCAAACCCCTCTCCTACCCCACCCCATCCCTCTGGGTTGTCCCAGAGCACCAGCTTCAAGTGCCCTGCTTCATGCATCCATCTTGCACTGGTCATCTGTTTTGCATATGGTAATATACATGTTTCAATGCTATTCTCTCAAATTGTCCCACCCTTGCCTTCTCCCACATAGTCCAAAGTCTGTTATTTACATCTGTGTCTCTTGCATACAGGGTCATCATTTCCGTGTTTCTAAATTCCATATATATGCGTTAATATACTATATTGATATTTCTCTTTATGACTTACTTTACTCTGTATATTTAGGCTCCAGTTTCATCCACCTCATCAGAACTGACTCAAATGCATTCCTTTTTATATAGCTGAATAATATTCCGTTGTGTATATGTACCACAACTTTCTTATCCATTCATCTGCTGATGGGCATCTAGGTTGCTTCCATGTCCTGGCTATTGTAAACAGTGCTGTGATGAACATTGGGGTACATGTGTCTCTTTCAGTTCTGGTTTCCTCTGTGTGTATGCTCAGCAGTGGGATTGCTGGTTTGTATGACAGTTCTCTTTCCAGTTTTTTAAGGAATCCACACTGTTCTCCATGGTGGCTGTACTAGTTTGCATTCCCACCAACAGTGTAAGAGGGTTCCTTTTTCTCCACACCCTCTCCAGCATTTATTGTTTGTAGACTTTTGGATGGCAGCCATTCTGACTGGCATGAGAGCACCTCATTGTGGTTTTGATTTGCATTTCTCTGATAATGAGTGATGTCGAGCATCTTTTCATGTGTTTGTTAGCCATCTGTATGTCTTCTTTGGAGAAATGTCTGTTTAGTTCTTTGGTCCACTTTTTAATTGGGTCGTTTATTTTTCTAAATAAATGAATGGTCCCATTTGTTTATTTTTATTTTTATTTCCATTCCATTCTGGTTTTGGTAACTTTAATAACTGTTTTCTGCTAGAATTTTATCCTTATGACACTCATATATGTATATATTCATGGGCTTATATTTTGTGTATAAGAAAAGATTCAGTAAACTTGCTTGCTTTCTGACAGTCTGTGTACCTCCATTACTTAGTACTTTAATTACACATTTTACTGGCTAGCTCTGTGTCTCATGGGGGAAGAAGCAAAACATGAGTTTAAACTTCAGGTTGATGGAAATAAAGTGCTGTAAAGTAAACTGAACGATGGTTTTGAGTGACCTTTGTTAGGACAAGGATCCTTGAGGGCGCCCATGTAGTTTTAGTTTACCTAGGATGCTTTAATTATTCATGTCTCAGTGTATGTTTTGAGTGGTTTTTGTCTGTAAAAATGAAAGTTTGGCAAATAGTAATTTGTCTAAGAGGTATGGGTTATTTCTGCCTCCTGATTTTTACTGTGATTATGGCATCACAGAAAAACTGGCATTACCAGCAAGCTGATTTTTTTGACTGTGCCTAAGCTGCTGCTTTTTTCCTTTCTCTTTTCCTCCCTCCCTTTGTTCCTTCCTTTTTTCCCTTTTACTATGTAAGTGGAAATGCTCACTTTTTAAAACATTATAAAAAGCCCTGTTCCTTTTTGACCACCCTTAGGCACAACCTCATCCATCTTCACCGAAGCAACCATAGTGACGTTGGCATGTATCCTTCTGAACTGATTTATGTGTATTTACATTTATTTATATAAGCCAGATAGCATAGCGTTTTATGTGGGTGGGGGGAGGAAATGTGGTTCCCCCCTCCAAAAATGGTGCCGTATTCTTTTTCACTTAGCAGTACCTCTTGGAGGGCTGTTTATCTTAGAAAGGACAGCTTGCCCTGTGTTCCTCTCCAGCTGCCAGTAGCGTTTCATGCACCACAGTTTCTTTAACCCTTCTCTCATCAGTGGGCAGCTTAATTTCTGATTTTTACTGTTGTTATAGACAATGCTACAATGAAAATCTTTGTACCTAAAACTAAATTATTTCTCAAGGGTAGTTAGTGAGAAAGCATTATGATGGTAGGGACTCAAAATTCTAATAACTGCTTATCTATTTTCCCTCTGAAGTTTATATTCCTCTCCAACTGTGAGGGCAAAGATCCTCCCAAATGAGTTTCAGAATATCAAAGTCAAGACATAGGCATTTTTCTCAATCTTTGAGAAGGAATGGTGCTTGTTATTTTAACTTTTGCATTTTCTAAAAATAGGTTGAACTTTGTTGACTTGACCATTTGTATTTTTTTTCTATAAATTGCATATGTTGAATTGGATTCAGTTCAGTTCAGTTGCTCAGTCATGTCTGACTCTTTGCGACCCCATGGACTGCGGCACGCCAGGCCTCCCTGTCCATCACCAATTCCCAGAGTTTACTCAAACTCATTATCCAGTTTAAATGATAACTTTGGGGGTAAATATTATTGAAATATACATATAGGAAAGTGTATAAACCACAAGTATACAGCTCAGTGAATTTTCTTTTTTTTTTTTTTCCACTTATTTTTATTAGTTGGAGGCTTATTACTTTACAGTTTTGTAGTGGGTTTAGCCATACATTGACATGAATCAGCCATGGATTTACATGTGTTCCCCATCCCGATCCCCCCTCCCGCCTCCCTCCCGCCTCCCTCCCCATCCCATCCCTCTGGGTCTTCGCAGTGCACCAGCCCTGAGCACTTGTCTCATGCATCCAACCTGGGCTGGTGATCTATTTCACCCTTGATAATGTACATGTTTCAATGCTGTTCTCTCAGAACATCCCACCCTCGCCTTCTCCCACAGAGTCCCAAAGTCTGTTCTGTAAGTAAATACACCATGTGTAACCAGCACCCAAATAAGAAGCAGCATTGGCAAAGCCCTTGAAGCCTCCCAGTGCCCCTTTCAGTAACTAACCCTGCTCTGCACTTCCAGGATAGCTGCTGTCCTTACTTTTAATATTATAAGTTAGTTTCTATGCTTTTCATTGTTAGGTGAATAGAATCATACAATACATACTCTTTGCTTCTTTCTTAGTATTAGCTTTTGAATATGTTTTAAGTAAAAAATTGTTATCACTGTAGAGATCTTTATATTTATACAGATAATTTCTTCTCTCACTAAAGTTTAAGAGATAAGTTGTGTCATTTTGTATAACCCCCAATGTCCTTATACAGGTCTAAGAACTCAAGAGTGGACTCCCCCAACCCGGGCGTTAACAGACTTGTTCACTCAGCTCCAGTCGATGGCTGAAAGTTCTTGCTTCCGTTTGGCTTAGAGTTATGGTTTGATCCTGTTCTGCTCATTAGCTGTCTCTTTGTGTTTGGTCAGAATTTGCAGACCGGTTTTATTTCTTCTTAGTGCTCTGTAACAAGACTGCTGCTTAACCTTTTATCTTCTTTTTATATCTGGGAGAGTATTATTCTCTTGTGCTGCTTCAGGAAGAATGAAACTGTATATGTATAGTTTGTCCCTTTCCTTTTGTCATTGTTTTCCCAAACAGGTAAAGGGACCTCCTACAACTTTAAACATCATCCTTTCCAGCTTCCCCTGGTTGCCTTATAAGCATTTAATTGATAAGCAACGGTTTTAACTTCTGTCTTTTAACTAGTAAAATATGTGAAACTGAGTAAGTTTCTTTATAGGTGACATTGTTTAAAATTATTTTTAATTGATAGTCTGCTTCCTAAAAGAATTTAAAGTGATTTATAGTAAAAGACATATGAAGTAATGCCAATAAGAATAAAAATATAAGATTGTAAGAGGAGAAAAAATCATTACCATAATTTTTGCTTCCAGAATTGGGTGTTAAATTTACCTTTGAGCCTCTGTCTTTTGAGACTTGAAAACAAATACAATTGTCACTTGGGAATGAGGAAGCTCATTATTTCATCAGGCAAGGCAGATGTGTTTGTTACTAAATTCCAAAAAATAAATAAATGTTCCTCAGAATCAGGTCATCCAAATTAGCATGTACCTAGGGATTTTAAAATGTATTGATGGGTTTAAAGAAATCAGTCAGCTCATAAACATTTCACTTAGTTTGTGAAAAAACTAAATCAGTGTGATGGTACTTGGTTGTGAAGTATTCATCTAGCTCACAGGAGTAGAGCATAAAGAACATGTGCTTAAATTATTTAAATAATGAACAGTGTTAACTTCTTTCAGGTTGTGGAATAATTTCAATCATCAGGCTATGATTGTTTTAGCTGTCTGTTAAAACTATTTTCATTGCAAAGTGATCTTAACTCTTGTCATATATTGTATATATGCAGTGATTGATATTAGTGTTTATACTCTCACTTTATGTATTTGATTTTGTCATGTGAATCAGGATCAGCATGTTGCTTATTTATTTTGGAGTAGTCTTAGAAAAATTATAAACTTGTCCCATATATTTGTTTCAACTGATTCCCAAGGATTGCTGTTTCTGGCAGAGTATTTGATTAGGGATTACAACATCATTCTAACTTGAAATAATGTGTTCTTAAACAGTTTTATAATTAAAATGTCTT